GAGTCTGTTTGATATTGTTTTGAGTGAATTGAGAAATTATATACCAAACCCTAGCCCTCTGTGAATAATCCTTGAACATTGAAAAAGTATTAAAAAAAGTACACTTTTTTCCCACATTTAGTTGTCTTAGATTGTGAATTTTAAAAGAATTATCTAAGGATTTGTTTCCCACTGATCTACAAAGCCTAGAGCACCATATCAAATAAAAGAAAACTCCAAAAACCTTCAATAGTTTGCTAAAAAAGAAAAAGAAGAGGAGGAAATCATCAGATGAAAAAAGTATTCATACCCCTCGTAACTACAAGCCTAAATTTGATCAGATATTACCTCAACAAGTTTCACAATTTATTGATGGACTTATTAATGTAAGAAATTAATGGTTCACCTGCTTTACTTCACCTGTGAGGATAAATACCCCTCTCTCTGTAAGGTCCCACAGTATGGTAGAGACTTTCACAAAAAAAGATTCAAAATGAAGACCAAGGAGCATTCTAAGCAAGTCAGGGATATGATTATGGAGAAGCATGTATCTGGGGAAGAGTTCGAAAAACATCTCAAAGGCGCCGAACGTTCCCCCGAGCTCAGTGCGGTAAATCACACAGAAGTGGGAAAAATACAAAACAACCATCACACTACCTAGATCAGGTCGTCCCACTACACTGAGTGGTCGGACAGGAGGGGTACTTTTTAGGGAAGCTACCGTGAGGCCAACTGTGACTCTGAACGAGTTACAGGAGTCAGTGGCTGTGATTCAATGTGATGTTCATGGATCAACAATCTCCAAAGTATTCCATGGAAGGAGGCTTTCTGGAAGAGTGGCAAGGGAGAAGTCCTGGCTGAAAAAAAAAAACCCATATACTTGCCCTCAATGGGTTTGCAGAACGTCACCTAGAAAACAATGCAGACGTGTGTCTTGTGGTCTGATGAGACAAAAATTAATCGGTATGTGTGGCACAAATCAAACACTGCACACCAGCCTGGTAACACCATCCCCGCTGTAAAGTATGGCGGCGGTAGCATCACGTTGTGGGGAAACTATTTTTTAATACTATTTTCTTTCATTGTGGGGGGACTCTATGAATAATACTGTGGGACTCTCAAATAAACATTCTCAGTTAAATGCATCATAATCCACGGCTTTGAGACTCTTAAATGTGAAAAAGTGTTTTGGGGGCTGAATACTTTTGCAAGGCACTGTATGCATTCGTTACAGATCTGATCCGCCTCTCATTCATACAAGGTAACCAGCATCCTGAGCTGCAGTTTCCCTCACACTGCAGACGTTTTGGACAATGACCGTGCTTATCTGTGCTCTCGCAGATTGAGGGAGACATTGCGGAGGTGAGACAAACCTAAAAATGTAATTCAGCAATCTGAATCGGTAGAAAAGCAAAGGATATTGAATAAATCACAGGTACACAGTTCCGTTGCAAAAATATAATGACATATTATATTTATTATATAATGCTATGCATGCATCATCCCCAGAAAGGAATGTTTTTTAATTAAAATGTTTTCACTTATAAAATTGCTATAGCATAATGAATGTTATACACCTGCCACAAATAATCTGTTTTGGAAATACCTTTAGATTGCTTGAATGAATCATCTAGCCACACAAAGTGTTTTAGCTGGAGAAGACCAGGTGTGACTATCATTGGTCTCAATTCATTCACCTTTTTTTGCAGATGCAAGTAAGTATTTCTGTAACCTTCAAGCACAGGTATATAATTTTATTTAGGCGATTGTTAAACCTGCCAAACTGTTTGCAAAGATAAAACACAACCCTCAAAGTTAAGGACAAAATTTGGATCGGAACTCAGCCTCTGTCCTCCTCTCTTGAACTTTTTTTGTGGGGGCCAGAGGTGACTGTAAGTAGCCATCAGTCTCTTGCTCAGTGGGTTCATGGCTGTGACAGTCCGGAGCTGACCGGCTCTTTGCAGAAGCAACACAGTCCTCAGCACCCCTAAAATACACATTATCTGACGCAAACCCAGACACACACACCAAAATGCAAAATTCTCCCTTGCACAGACTGTCTGACACAATTTTTTGTCTCTGTCACAGAAACACAGAAAGACAAGCTCTTCTCCTTCGCTCATGCATGCACACACTCGCATGTTCTCTCTCTCTCTCTCACTCTGTCTCTCATTAGCACACTTTCAGGCACAGAAAAGCACTGCGGTCATCATTTTATGGCCTCTAAATAATAAAAGGCTGTTCTATTTTGAGGTGTTTTGAAGTGCATTTTTTGACTTGGGACCGTGCTCCCATTTAGCTGTCTGTCTCCAGTGGATGAGTCACTTGCAGACTCAGAAATGGCAAAAACAATACAGACAAGGAACGATCTGATGTCAGGAGTTGTACAGGTTACGAAAACTTTACAGAAATGGACTCAGTATCATGCCTCTTGCTTTTCTAAAAATAATTGCCAATGATAGAAAAGTCAATAAAATGTAATACTGCACAAAATATAGAATGTTGTTGTCAGTATTATGCAGAGTAAATGTCCTGTAATTTTCTTACATTGAGTTGACAATTTTGTCAGAATTGTCAAGGTTGGATTATTCAGATTTAAATGCACTATAGTTTGGAAAATGAATTTGTACAAGTGAATAGTTGTAAATAGTTTAGTTTTGAATAGAAAATGTAAAGTTTCTATTCAAGTTTTTTTTTTAAATAGAAAGTTTAGTTAAGTGCAGCATGAAATCAGCGGTATTGTGTGCTAAACCACACTTTTTTGTGAACCCTCTTCTGAAGCCTTGTCAGAGTCTAAGAAATATTTTTAAGACCCACCCCACCCCTCATGTACGCCGACAACGACTTATTTAAAATAAAAGAAAACCATGCCTTAGGAACAGCATTTGTTTCTGTTATTGGTGGAGTTTGAACCCACACCCTTGGGGTTGTTAGCACCATGCCCAGTGAGCCACTGTGTTTTTTCAGGTATATGTTGTGATGTAATTCCCTGGTGTAGCTCACTCATTGTGGGTGAGACACCTGCAGAGTGGAGAAATGGTTTTCCATTACAGACAATCCATGCCTGGTTTTTTGTTTGTGTGCTAGTGGGTGGAGCACCTTGATTGATAGGCAGGGCCTGTGTGAGTCACCTGTGGCTAATCAGCTAGAAGGTTTATATACAGGCCAGGGAGCTATGGTAACTCAGTTGGGAACTGAAAAGATTAGGGTAGGAGCTCTGCTCCTGGTAAAGGTTTGTACAGTTAGTCTGACCAAGTGAATTAAGACTTGTTTCTCCAAGACTGGTTCATCCTGAGTGTAAAAAATTCCCACCATCTTGTCAGGGGACACTGAAATGGTTCAGTCTGTTGCATTATGACATCACAGGTGACTCATGCATTGCTGTTCTGTAGATGGCACCTAGGCCAGTGTGGCATACCACATCTCCCTCTCAAAGGTGTAAATTGTCCTGACATATCGAAGGTAAATTTACTGCAAAATTCTGCTGGTCTTCTGTTCAATTGGTATTACTCGTGTTCATATTTGCTTCACAAAAATGGTGAGAATCTTGGTGATTGCTAAAGCTTTTCAGAGTCTTTGAAGAACATAGGAAGGAACACTTGCATTTAATCCTGGGTCAAGTTACTTAGAGTATGTGATCTTTGAATTTCCCAGTTGAAGTTAGGCTCGTACATTGGATTACTGGATGGTATTCATGCTTGTTTTATGTTTTTTTTAAATCCTGACTTCACTGTTTAATGGTGACATCAACAAAGGGATGAGATTTTAGGATTAATTCAAGCTAATTGCTGGTTTACCAACCACCTGCTGTGCTACAGTAGCTAGCCAGCTAATTGTTGAATCTGTCTACACAGTGTTTAGAAATACATGCGAAGTCTAAAGGCAAACTACAATTCTGATTGTCATTGTTTTAGCTAGATAATACTAGACAACAGCCATTGATCTTACAGAATTAGAAGGTTCTATCTGAATTTGAATCTTCTTAAAGTTGTAATTGTCCCGCGATTTTTATATTGTGTACTCAGAGGACCTCTGGAATGCCAGTCTTGTTGCACTGTAAAGATGAATAAGGCTACGTAACAATTTAGCTAATTGGAATGTGAAAACTTTGATGCTAAATGATTAAGAACTGCACTCTATAGTGCACTCACACCGATAGTTCTTATAGTTCCAGGCTCACAAATTGTTCTTTGAATCCAAGGCCCGCTTACAGACACAACAATGTCAGGCACACGGGTACTCGCACACTGAGGGTTGCGGCACCACAGGCCTCACAGGAACGCACACACATTCAGACAGACTGCTGTTCCTTCAGTCCATGTCAGATGCCATCAAACTCGCCCCTCACGCACTACATCCCCCCTGGCAGGAGTCTCCCTTTCGGTTGGTCAAGGGGCGCTTTTTGTGTCACTCACTGTCACTTCCACTCGGGTTCCATCAGGAGGGCAGGCAAGTTCTGGGGACAGCTCAGCTCGTGTACACAGGACCCAGGACTTTAACCATGAGAGAGAATGGGAGATTAAAAGAACATCACTGCCAAATCAAATTGTCTTTTTTCTTCCTCTGCTTTAATGCTACTCGTTTTTTTTTTCCCAACTCTTAACTCTTTCGATACCATCGGTATGAAAAGCATGAATGTTCTTTTGATAAAAACATTACCTCCACACACATTCATTAGGGTTTTTTTAACACTGCATTTTAGCTCCATACCCACCATTACAAAATAACTCTCCCCCTTCTCTGTCAGAGGTTCCAAAAATTGGATCTGGACCCCTTTGTGAACCGAGAGTATAGATGAGGTGGGTTGTAAGAGGATGTGTGGAAAAAAAACTGAGAACATCAAAGAACATGCACATTTTTCAGCATCAAAAGCAGCTTCTCCATTCCACATATCATGTTGCATTTAAAACTATGATTTCAAAATCATTTCCAAAAACACCACGAATACTCCAATACAGACATTTGATACTATAGTGATCAGAAAAACCTTATATTTGCAGAGCTCAGGTTGCTTAAACCCTTGTTATTGGTGGGGTTCAAACCCACAACCTTGGAGTTATTAGCACCATGCCCTAAAGCAGTGAACTACAGTGTTTTGGCAGTTGATGCAATTCCTTGGGGAGGCCACTGCAGAGTGGAGAAATGGTTTTCCATTACAGACAATCCATGTCCGGTTTTTTTGCAGATGCTCATGGGTCGACTGATTGACAGGCGGGGCCTGTGTGAATTGGGCCACCTGTGGCTAATCAGCTACAGGGTTTAAATGCAGGCCAGGGTGCAATGGGAACTCAGTTGGGAACTGAACAGGTTAGGGTGGGAGCTCTGCTCCTGGTAAGGTTTGGTTTGGTTTGGTTTGGTTTGGTTTGGTTTAGTTAAGTCCCAACTTAGTCAGGGTGGGAGCTTGGCTCCTGGTAAAGGTTTGTATAGCTAGTCTGACCATGTGAATTGAGACTTGGGTACCTTTCTTTTTTCCCTCTTGTTAAATTTAAGGAACTCAATCCTGAACAGGAGGTATCTTAAGTTTCTGGAGAACCCCAAGTGATGGGATTTTGAGTTGGTTTACCTCTCCTTATGCTCTCCTTTTTTTCCTCTTTGTGTTGGAGGACAAGAGTTTTTTGTTCTACCTGAATTCCCCATTTTGGTGGACATCAGTGGTGTCTTTTGGAACCCCTTTTCCCCAAGTTCAGATATAGTGATTATTTGTTTCATTGTTAGTTCCCAGTAGGACACGAAGAGAAATGGGAACATAACATGCTGTTCAACACTGATAAGTACTACTTTGTCCAGCCTGCCGCAAGCATCCATGTGAAATATTGCATGCCATACACATGGATGTCCTTGGAGCATGACAGTAGATAGCGGCAGGCCCTTTTTCATCTAGCCTTGAAATTACTGCACTGGTAGCACTCTATTGTATGATAAGAAAATAGCTTGGAGATATATGGCTTTCTGTCAGGTTTCTGTATCTTGGTGCACTGCACCAATTGGTAAAATTATTCAATTCAGTTGCCCATTAGGAGTTCAGACCCATCAAATCAAGCATGCATAATTCACCCCATTTAATTGAAATGGTTTACTACCTTGTAAGGGTCAATTGTCTCATGTGATACTGCTTCAACTGCAGATTTGTACATTGTTTTTCAATTAAATTAGTGTCACAATTATAGTTAAGTCGTAAATATGATTTTAGATGATGGATCAAGTTGGTAAATTTCTTGGAATTTCTAGAAATGCACTAGGAGATAAACAATCAGTGGACATGACGCTGGATTGTACTTCCTTGTAAGACTCTGCAGTAGCATAGGTGCAGATGTCGTGTTTCCTTTAAATGGCAGCGCTCCCAACAGTCTCTCTGACAAAAGCACATCACAGCAAGACGGAGGATCATTGCATCTTTCAGTGCCACTGAATGTGATGAGCTATTAGACATGCATACAAACAGAACCAAGATTTTAAACTTTAGGCTGTAAAACAAATCAATCTCAGGATGTGCCTTTAGGCTAAAATAAATTCCATAGCAGATGTATTTAATAATATAGTCACCCTAATACTTTGTGGGTTGTAGTTCAGGCAAAATGTATTGCATTTTGCCAATAACAAATTGAAATGTAAGAAGGTGAATATTATCAGGTTGTGCTGGCAGCTCGGGTCCTCCCTGGAATCCTGAACCCTATTAAAAGATATAGAACCGGGCTTCCCTGAGCCTATTTGATATTTATGGATATCTTTGGGTCCCTGACTCATTCAGGGCTTGCACCCCTCCATGGCCTCTGCGTTTGGCCGGATGGGAACCTGTTTTATAAAGACCAAAGTGTATTTTTCCTTAAAATTTAATTTCAGCAAACTGCATAAACGAATGGGGATCGACTGAGCTGGGACTGTTAAGGTTGAATTTAACAAGCCCTTGTGTTCCTTCGCTTGACAGCTGTCCTTGAGTGATCACAGAGGAGTTTCTGTAAGTAATTGAAGTTCCTGGGCAGAAGCTGGAGGCTAGACCTGACCTGCCGCGAAAATGTAGGTCTCTCGTTCCTTAGAGAAGTGCGAACGAACGGTGTACAAGCGTCTGGCTTTGTCTGTGAGATAGAATCTGGCAGTTACTGTCCTATCCTTAGCAACTCTAATGAGAAGAATGAAGACCACCTCCCCAGCCTCCCAGCAAGATAAAATAGATTAAACCAGATAATTCAATGCTGATTTAATCAGTCACAACAACCCATCAACAAATCATTTAATCAAACAACATGGCAAATTTTACTTCTGGTTAAACGCATTCAACATTAAAACAATGATATGAGTTCAAGGATTCAGGTTCTGAATACACTGGGAAAATTAGAGTGATGGTTCTTAAAATCGCAGTGACATTTTAAGAGAAATTGCACAAAGAAACTACAGATTGATATGCCAGTTTGGTACTAGTTACAGAGAATCTGCAAGCCACAAATACACATCTCCATTGTTATTGATCTTTTCACTATTTTCATTTCAGGCCTGTCAGACTACATTTTCTCCAAGTACTGCCCCTTACCAGCAATTGTTGTTTTCTGAGTTTGAGCTATTTCATTTCATGAGTCCATCTTGGTGTATTGTGTTCAATTTTATGGTATGGCTTTTTATGACTCCTTTACATTTCAATTTCTCTAATATGTATTTATCGGGATAATTTTAGTTTGGCTTCTATGACAATATCATAATTATGTGAATCTGTTTCACATTGAGATTCCTGCTATTATCCCCGTGTAAGTTATTAGTAGGATCCCTGAACGATATAGTACATTAACAGACGTGGCAAACTTACTACCCTTTTTCACATGTAAATACATTTAAATTATGCAATACATTGATGACAAAATTGAAACCCAGTCTTCCAAAAATGTATTATTGAGTATAAACACATTACAGAGGGATACAGAGGTAAACAGAAAGGAGTAATGAAGGGGCAACTGGAGATTTTAAAGGACAAAAACATAATTAGTCGCAGATTTAATGTGATTAAAAATAAAGGAAGTAAATGTAGAATATAAAAAATGGCTGAAGGGACTGAGAGGCAGAATGTTCAGTGGGTGTAACTCTGTTCCTTAGCAGGGGAGGTATACACTGGATTCAGTGCATTCAGAGCTGGGAGGTGGGGTTGGGTTATTCAGTTTGCATAACTTCCAGATACACCTCTGGCCTGGGCTGAGGTGGGATTTCATTAAGAAGGATTAAAGAATTTGGTGGATAACTTTCATAAATATTTAGATAAAGCTCAGGATCTCATCCAATTGAGTTTTGCCCGAATGTTTATGAAACTAATGCCATAATCCTACTTTAGGAAATGCCCCCAGTCTCTTGCTGGCTCACTTCCTGCTATGACACTTAGCATGATTGGCGATGTCCCGAGCGGTGAGAGGTTTGCATTTTTTAGTGACTTTTTTTGGGTGGGTGAGGAATCAGGATGTTTTCTTTTGCATGCATCTCCCGTAAATAAGCAGAGCTCAGCAGTACACCAGAACCATAATTTTTTATTGTTACATTATTGCAAATAACATTGGATAAATGGAGCACAAAATTAATTTGATAACTTCTGTTTTATTACCTCAGAGTCATTTTATAATGAATCAGGCAACTCCTACTGTTTCAAGTTATACCAGTAGCACTTTATAAAACAGATCTATAATAATGGGGTAATATCTATATAATTTCAAAGAAATTACTTAATAATGAATGTTATAGGTATGGCTTGAACCCACAACCTTGCACTTTTTAATAGTATATCCTAATACAGTGAGCCACTGTGTTTTCTTTGGTATAGAGTATGATGTAATTCCTTGGTGTAGCTCACTCATTGGTGAGACCGCTGCAGAGTGGAGAAATGGGTTTTCATTACAGGCAATCCATGTCTGGTTTTTGTGCAGATGCTCATGGGTGGAGCACCTTGATTGACAAGCGGGGCCTGTGTGAATTGGGCCACCCGTGGCTAATCAGCTACGGGGTTTATATACAGGCCTGGGTGCAGCAGTAACGCAGTTGGGAACTGAAAAGGTTAGGGTGGGAGCTCTGCTCCTGGTTTGGTTTGGTTTGGTTTAGTTAAGTCCCAGCTTAGTCTGGGTGGGAGCTTGGCTCCTGGTAAGGTTTGTACAGTTAGTCTGACCAAGTGAATTGAGACTTGGGTACCTTTCTTTTTTTCCTCTCCTGTTAAATTTAAGGAACTGCCCCAAAGTGGGCTCAGAACCCTGAACAGGAGGTATCTTTTATGTTTCTGGAGTCCCAACTTAGTCAGGGTGGGAGCTTGGCTCCTGGTAAAGGTTTGTACAGTTAGTCTGACCAAGTGAATTGAGTCAGTTTCTTTGGTTTTCTCACCAACTAACTTTCAGTTAATTAAGAAAACTGCCCCAAAGTGGATTCTCTTTTTTTTTTTTGTTTTTTGTTTTCATTTGACAAGACAACCCTAATGGGATATCTTTTTGAGTTTCCTAAGAATGCTGAGTGATGGAACTTAAGCTCAATGCTTACCTTGTCATAGATCTTGCACTCTCTCTCTTTGTCCTGTTTGGGTTGGAGAGCTTCTTCGGTTATTCTCCCTAAATTCCCCAACTTGATGGATGTCAGTGGTGTCTTTTAGAACCCCTTTCCTGAAGTTTAAAATATAAGTGTGGTTTTACTCTTAGGAAATTCCCAGTAGGACATGAAGTGAAGTGGGATGCCTCCTAAATAGTTTTTTTCAAAATTTTGTGTTCAAATGATACAAAATCATGTGCATTCAGTAATCCTGATAGAATTCATCAGAAATGTTTCTAAGGGAAGTAAATGGGGAAAAGTGTATTTCACCAAAAATCAAGTAAAGACTTAAGACTACAGTCTTGCCTCCAGACAGTAAAATAATGGTATGCCTCTTAAATTTGCAACATTTTGTTCTGAAATGATAGAAAATCATGTGCATTTACTAAGTGCTACCGCTCTACATGAATGACTAATCATCTACTGCTAAAAACCTATTTCAAAGAAGCTTAATATTGACAATCAACATTTCAACAAAAACTGTGGGTTTGGCAGTAATCTACTCAGTCACAAAATGTTTAAATTGATTAAAGGAGCAGTGGATTACCATTTTCCTTC